CTCCCTGGTTCTCTGAGCCTCTGGGAGTCTCTGCACACACTGGGTGGGAGAGGCACCAGAATTTCAGGTGGGGCCTTGGAAGGGCTGTCAGGTGTACAGGAGGTGATCAGGAACTGAATCCTTGGAAATTCTCATTTTGGAGCACAGATTTGAGCCCTTGCAGACCCACAAAGAGCGACTCCCATGCCTGTGTTGATATTTCTGTTTTCAGAGCACAGAACCTTTCTGGAGCTACTGGAATGCCTTTGCAGCTGCTGCTGTCAGCCTTTCTGTAAATGCTGAACTGTGAGTTATTTGGGTTATGTGGCTGACAGTGTTTGTCTGTGGAGTCACACACAGTGCCTGCACAGCTCCTGTTTGTTTGCATAAATGGTACAAACAGAACTCAGGTAACTCCTCAGCAAAATCAAAGCAGATTTTGCTGATGGCTGTTGGATGCATTTTCCTGCTGCTCACTACAGTTGTTTCATTCTTTTATCAGCAGTGACTCTGAGATCTGAGTGTTTTCTTTATGCAATGGAATGAATGATCTGATCTCCTAAATAATTTATTTTCTAATCCTGCGTTTTTTTGAGGCTGGAGATCCAAAACTCTGCCATGTGGGAAAGAGGATGGGTGATGTATTTTCCTTTTTCCCCTTCCAGGAGCTCCTCCCTCCAGCAGAAGAGATTTCTTTTGATCCAAAGAAACCTCAAAACTCTGGTCAAGGAATATTGGCTCATCTGCTGCCTGGTTTGTGCTTGCTGGGGCATAAAAGGAGCAGGGTGGCCCAAGAGGGATTCCTTGGGAGAAGCAGCTGTGCCTGTGAAACAAATCAATCTGCTTCTTCAAAGTGCTCTGCAGCTTTGCCTTTGTGCCTTTCATGGCACCCAGAGCTGGATGATTTCATCTTCTGGATGATTGCTGATGGTGGGGTTCATTGCTCTGTGCTCACACAGAAGGTTTCTCTCATCTCAGTTGTTTCCTGCTCTGTGGATGCTGATACCCACTTTTGGGGTGCTGGATTTTATAACTGACCCTTTGGAGAAACTTGGATTCCTCACATTATCATTAAAATGAGTTTCCCATGGACTGCAGCACTGTAACTTTCCCTTTCATTTGCTCTAGCTTTATAAAAACCACCCTGCACTCCAGGCTCCCCCATTCCTTGTCCCCTTTCCAGCCATCTCTCCAGCTCTGGGAATTTGTATCTGTAGGAAAACTCCCAGCTCAGTCCCAGCAGCTCTGAGTGGGAATGAGGTTTTAGTGGCATTCACTGCCTGGATCTGAGCTGGCAGCAAAGCTGAACATTCCCACATTACCTGTTCTGCTGGAAGGTGTCCGTGTCCATGGCAGGGGTGGCACTGGAGGAGCTTTAAGGTCCCTTCCAACCCAAACCATCCCCAATCCTGGGATATTTAAAGTTGAATTTCCTCAGTAGAGGAAATCCTTTGTGGTCCCACTGGTCCAGTGTAGGATCAGAGAAGAGTTTGAGTTGGAAGAGACCTTCCAAAGGCCACCTTACACCTCCCACTATTCCAGGGTGGTCTACCCTGGCTTTGGACACTTTCAGGGATCCAGGGGCAGCCACAGCTTCTCTGGGAATTTTATTACAGGGCCTGCCCACCCTCAGTGTAAAAACCTTCTTGTGTGTGGTGTAAAGCAGCCCTCCTGCAGGTGAACCCACCCTGCCTGTCCTGCTCAGAGCTGTGCCCCACCTTTCCTGTCACCCCCTTCAGGTGCAGGAACGTTCCTGGAGCCTTCCCTTCTCCAGCTGAACACTCCCAAAGCTCAGCTTTTCCTCAGGGTTGAGGGGCTCAGCCCTCAGAGCACCTTTGTGGCCTCTTTCCATTAATCCTTTTCCAGAAAAAATTCCATTTCTCTGAAGTTCCAGGAATATCTGCAATGCTCCAGGCTCCCCTGGGGTCCCTCAGTGCCTCCTCAGAAATTCCCCTCACATGGTTGGGGTGTGGTGAGACTTGGGTGGTTTTTTAATCCTCTTTTTTACCACAGCAAATTTGATGAGGTTCCAAGAAAAGGAGCTGAACTCATTTATTCCTGTTGGGAACTTGACAGAAGTTTTCATCTGCTGGCACCAAGGACAAGGGCACCCAGCTCTCAGTGAACCCTGAGCTGAGAGCCCTTCAAAGCATCCACATCTCCTCCAGCCAGGGCTGCAGTGCTCCCAGCTCTGCATTCTTCAAGCATTTTCCAATCTCCCTGCATTCCTCAAGCTGTGATTTTATCACCACTGGATGTGATTTTCAGAGAGTGACTTTTGATTGTGCCCCTGAGGGAAGCACTGGGTGTGGGCACATCAGCCCTGCCTGCCCCAGGGCTGCTTTCCTGCCTGCTCTGCCTTCAAATGATGGCAAAACAGATATTAATCCTACCCACTGATATTAATGCTACCCACTGATATTAATGCTATCCTCAGATATTAATCCTACCCACTGATATTAATCCTATCCTCAGATATTAATCCTATCCTCAGATATTAATCCTACCCACTGATATTAATCCTATTCTCAGATATTAATCCTACCCACTGATATTAATCCTACCCACTGATATTAATCCTATCCTCAGATATTAATCCTACCCACTGATATTAATGCTACCCACAGATATTAATCCTACCCACTGATATTAATCCTATCAACACCACATTTGCATTGGTTTCATGCAACTTTTTGTCCCCTTTTTTTCCTCCACAACTGATTTGGAAGCTCTTTGGCAGCACTGACAGCACCAGGATGTGGATGGGAGATGAGGGGGAGTGGATTTCTTCTGTCAGGGTCCTCCATTTTCCAGATTACCTAAAGAATTGATCAGTGTAATTAAAAAAAAAACCCAAACATTTTCCAGCTTCTGGGCATGGATATTCACTGCTTATTTATTCATTTATTTACTCTGTAATAAAATAGTCCTGTTCTCACAGACTAGGCTGTGTGATCCATAAATACCCTTGTAAAATAGATTTGTAGCATGTAACAGAATCCCTTAGAATATTCTGTGAAAATTCTTTTTTTGTTGTTGTTGTTGTTGGTAGCACTTTCAGAACATTTACATCCTTCATCCTGACATTTTGAAATAGAACATTTTTTCCTACAGAGGTAAGTTTACAGCATCATCACAGTATTATAGCTTGTTTAAAAATACATACAGCAGAACTGGTAATTGCAAGCAAGCTGGAGACTTGAGCATGGGGCTGGTGGCAACTTCACATGGTTCCTACTTTATAAAACAATGACATTTATTAATATTACATCCATCACTTGGTTAGAAAAGATTACTTAGATGTGCTACTCACAAGAAATCTGTCATTTCTCTGTGACATCACAGGACAGGCTATGGAAATAGAAACACTCCGTGGTATGGGTGGTTTAAAAAGGTGGTTAATTAAAAAAAGGGGGTTAGGCTGTTTTATCCCTTCGGAATTTCAGTTCCATTCATACTGGGTGTCCTTCATCCACTGGTGGGAATGCCATGAGCAGCTCTCAGCACAGCCCTGGTGTGAGGGGAGCTCTGAAATGTCACTGAAATGTGGCCCGGGCTGGCAGCCCCAGCTGGGAGCCTCTCACCCCAACACCCCCAGCCTGTGGGACCAGCACAGCTCAGCCCCCCTGGGCACCCCAAATCTGCCTCTGCACCTTCCAGGGGCTCTGAAAGGCTGACAGCAACACATTGAAATATTTGAAATACTTGAAATACTGGAAATTGTGAAAAAAATTTACAGAAAATTGTGGTTAAGGTTGGAATGGAGCTAAAAACTGAGCCCATTCCAGCCCTGCCATGGCAGGGACACCTCCCACTGTCACCCCAGGGTGCTCCAGCCTGGCCTTGGGCACTGCCAGGGATCCAGGGCCTGCCCACCCTCACAGGCACTGCCAGTTTGCCCAGCGAGGATTAAAATGACAGAAGAGATTAAAAATACATCATTGCATTGGTTTTACTTTGCACAAATGAGACTAAATGTATAAATATATATATATATATGTATAATAAAGCTGTAGGAAATCTCCAAACTGCTAACAACTCTTAGAAATGAGATAAAACAAGGATGTATTTCCTTGGAAATCCCAAATTTGCAGTTCTCTCATGATTTTCATTTTCAGGTAATTCAAGAGTCCTTCCTGGTGGATCCTGGTTTCCTCTTTTTATGAAACAAGTTCAGGTGTGCTTTGGCAAACGCTCTTTTCTTGGTCTCTCTGATACTCCTCTTGTGCTTTCTGCAGTCTTCTCCCTCGGAGTTTCCACTTGTGGAAGCAGTAGGTGACGAGGGACGTCATGAGCAGGGAGAAGAGGATGACCAGCACCACGATGAGGGCGATGGTGGACGAGAGGGAGCCCTGCAGCTGCTCGCTCTCCGTGTCCCCGGTGGAGTTCACAGCAGCCAAGTTCTCATACTCTGCTGGGGCCACAAGGGCGGCTCCGGGAGCCTCCCTCAGCTTGGGCCTCATTGGGACTCGGGAGTGTTCTCAGGATCCCGGAGAAGCAGATTTAGGAGTGCTCTGTCACATCCAGGAGCCACCTTTGGGTGCTGCAGGCATGGGGGACGCTCAGCAGTGAAGAGCAGGAGCTGCAGCCTCTAGCACAGGTCAGCTTTATCCCAGGTGGGTCAG